ATTTTGATAAACTGTGGGTATTTTGGCACAGTCTCAAAAACCTGTCTTCAAGGTAGTATTAAAATCATTATTAAAACTCACTAAAGAATGTCATCTTGATATTTAAACCTTTATAACTCACACATTCTTTATTATTGGGAATTTGAGTCTGGGTTATTGGGAATTTGAGACATTTTAGTGTGTTCACTTAGAAAATGCACTAAAACCTATCATAATGTCTAAAAGGATGCATTGTGATGTCATCTTGAGGGGATTTTCATATTCTGTACTGTTTCTGGGCCTTTACATTTAATAACATTTTTATAGTTGAGTAAGATACACTTTTTATGCAGCAAAACTTCAGGTCAGTGGTTCTTTTTTTTTTTAAGACAGGGTTTCTCTGTGTAGCCTTGACTGTTCTGGAAGTTGCTCTGTAGACCAGGCTAGCCTTGAACTCACAGAGATCTGCCTGCTTCTGCCTCCAAAGTGCTGGGATTACAGGCATGTGCTGTTACTGCCTGGCCAGGTCAATGGTTCTTAAGATACAAATGGAAGAGTTAAAGTAAAATGTTTCCTTTTGGATTATCTCTCTATATTTTAATTAATTTTTTTTATTTCTAATTTTAATATTTAGTCCAAAAAGACCTGATTCTCTTAGTCTATATATTTTAAAAGATTATGTATTGTGGCTCTTTAGGAAACTGTCCAATTCATCAAAACACTTTTCCTTTCTTTTTGTTTCTGAAAAGCTTACTTTACAGTCTCCTAACTGAACTTTCTATATCAAATTAAGAGGTGTTGCATGTGTATATAATAGAAATTTGCCGTTTGAACGGAAGCGCTTTAAAGAGCAAGGCCAGAATGACGAGGTTCACTTAGCAGTGTGAGGTGTGGTACCCTTTGTTTTCTTTTCTCTCCCAGGCTTTGAAAACAAAACTTGATACTAATTTAAAAAATTACACAGTGTCCAGTATATTTGTCTCTCTGTACGTTTTATGTAAGTTTAAAAATAGTTCGTTCTTCAAGATGTGTGTGTGTGTGTGTGTGTGTGTGTGTGTGTGTGTGTGTGTGTGTAGATATTAAAAAAAGGAAAATGGATCCTTCTGGGGTTGTTAAGGAGGAGTAGACCATCATAGAATGGTTGTGATTTGAGATTTCAAGAGGGTATTTTTACATCATATGTACTTGTGAAAATGAAAGCAGCCTTGAAAAAAATGCTTTCAAATAATTACTGTTGAAATAAAAACTTTCTTGTTAGATCTGTGAAATAAGAGAATGGTGACACAAATGCAAACTTCAAATAAGAATCTAAAGTACCAAATTAGTTTTTAAGTTTTCGATATTTCACCCACTATGATCTTAGACTTATGAAAACAGTACTTTGAAACCAAAACAGTTTGAGCCGTAATCTAATGAAATGTGTTGTATTTGTACTGCCAGGTTATTTTATATTTCAAAAGAAACAGTATCTGTAGCCTAATCTACAATAGTAAATTATTTTGGAAATTTGGCTTGACATACAAACAGATGTGTTTTCTTGATTTCTTTCGGCTGAGGTTGGTGGTTAGTGGCTTATTGTTCTGTGATTGGCACTGAAAGCCTTATTTCACAGCTTGTAGTAGGAAGCCGTTGGGTAGAGAGTGGTTGTGTTCCACAAACGAAATGCAGAAAGTGTCAATCAGGCTCTTACACAGGTTACTCAGAGAATGAGTTTTCTTACTGATTTCACTAAATGTCGCCTCATGCTGTCTTTGATTGGCATAGCCTGGCAGGGAGGATGGATGAATCTGTCACCAGCTAGTTAATTGTGTTGCTGGTCTCAGTCTGACATCAGGTCTTTGACTCTTAAATGGCTCAATACAAAACAAATTAGCAGATTGTAGTCATATTTCTCATTCTATATGCTCTGACTTTGGTGAATGCAGTCCATAAATCATATTGACTGACACACAAGCAAATGATGAAAGCTGCCTTTGAGACGGACGTCCAGAGAGCAGACTGTGAAGGTGCCACGGAAGGATGCATATGGTTGACCCTGTGGGAATTTCCTAGGAGCCAAATGTCTCTTTGCCACAATTGTTCTTAGAAGAAAAGCTTTGGGGTAATGCAAAAAGGATCTAATATGTCAGCAGATTCTCTTTTACAAGTCCCTTTGAAATATAAGAAGTTTGTCTAAGGGTTTTCTCTCTTGGCAAGTTGTTTTTCAGAAAAAAAAATTGTTAAAGCAGGGTGAAAAACTGTAGTCACCTTTTTTAAAGTTTGGCAGGTGTTTTTACTTATTGAACTTTGTGTTGTTAAAGAGAAAGAAAATGCTAGTAATGTTGCAAGTAATTTTTCAGATAAGGGCAGGAAATTTTTGATTGCTTAAAATATATTAAATGTGCACTGTTTCATTGATTAGCTTGGCTTTGTTATCATATTCATACCTATTAAAAGCTATTTTTTAAAGACAACTATGAAAGTGTTTACATTTTTTGTTTTAGGATGATGCATTATTGTGAGAGTCAATGTTACTAGTTATAATGGTGTTCAGGGAGTCTGTTACTAGTGTTCAGGGAGGGATGTTTGGGTTATTAAAATGGGCCAAGAGTCTTAGGCATGAGATATCAGTTGCAAATATGTTTTTGAGTGTGTAAATATTAAAGACATATAAACTTTTCTATATAAAATAAGTAGATAAAATTTAAGAATGGTTCTGTACATTCTGAAATTAGAAAGAGGACATCTAAAGAATAGTGTATAATCTTATAAAATATAAGCTTTTAAAAATTTCAACAATCTGAACCTTGATAGTTTTAACTTAAATTTTAATGTATAAAAAGGAATAATTCATTTTATTTAAAAAATTTATAATTTTTTATTTTGTAAATCTTTAAAAGTTTTATCTTTGAGAACAATAAGCCTGTATTCAATATGCCTAATCAAAAGAAGTTTAAACTGAAGACTTTACTGTTATAAATATTACTTAGCTACAAAGCAAATTTGCATTTGTATTTTCATTGCCTGCTTCCACCAGATATGGAATAATTTATGCTCTTGTCATCATATTTGGCTCCAGTACTGTTGTATAGCTATTTTTGTCTCTGAACCTAAATTAAAATAATACCACTTATAACGTATGGAATACTTCTGTACGAAGTGAGTGAAATAATTTTTGGACAGTTTATTAATCTGCTTTTTCAGCTGGTACGTTGTTGTGGAACAGTATAATAGAGCTGAATTGATAGAGAAGTACATTAGGCTAAGAATGCAATTCTTCCATTAAGTCAAAATAACATTTCCATGAAGTATTTGCAAGCCTGCTACACTGAAATTAAATGACATGGCGTTGATTTCTCTTTTTTCTGCTTTTATTTCCCTCCCATTCACATTGATATTGTTCTGCTTGGAGAATGGAGCTGCATGTCTCTCAGACTAATTCCTCCTGGGTTTGGTGCCTTTTGAGCATGCTGGGTTTTTCATTGTTTGTTACATTCCTCTTTTGGCAATTCATCAGCATCTGTCAAACATATTGTTCGCATTGGCTTTTATCTCTGGGGTTTTGATTGAGAAATTAACACTGCATGTCAGATGTTTAGCTTTCTGCTATGCATAGTGCCTAAAATGCTAAGCACCCATAAGCAGTTTGGTCCTAGTCTGATTTGTAATGTGTAATTTAAAGAACAAATATTCTAATAAGTATGAAATTTATTTATTTTCCTTATGGCCTTTCATATCAACTGTACATAAACATTTTTGTATTACTATATTGTAGCAGATACGTTTGGAAGATGATTTTTATGGTTTTGTTGCTCTATTTGCTTTTGTGATTAGTAGGAAGAAAAAACAATTATCAGATATCACTGGGTAAATGTTTGTTAATTGAAATGAGAAAAAACATGGCATGTCCTCTGAAAATCATTATTTTCCTAACCATAATTCTAGTCTTTGACTCTCATCATGGGAATCAGCCCATTACCTAATCATATAATCATTTGAGGACAGCCTCCCTAGAAGGGCAACACTGGGAAACTTGGACCTAAAAGAGTTTATACTGTTAGACATCTGCTTCAAATGCGGAAAGAAACTTCTTTAAGCAGTTCTTCAAACTTAAGCAAGTTATAGATGGGGTGTGGTGGCGCACGCCTTTAATCCCAATGCTCAGGAAGCAGAGATCTGGGTGTTTAAGGCCAGCCAGGTTTATATAGTGAGTTTCAGGCCAGCCAGAGCTACACAGAGACACCCTGTCTTTAAAAAAAAAAGAAAGAAAAAAGAAAAAAAGAAGAAAAAAAGCAATCTATACTAATTGTGATTCAGCTGTGTAATCTGTAAGGCGAACATTAAAAAACTGGTATTTTAAGAAATTTCAAGTAAGACTGTCAGTGAAAGTTCATCTAGAACTTCTGGGGCTTAAAGTGAATCATGTATCACACTGAAAGAAAGCCGTGAGTGTTAGTTTCTGTAGTTACGTGCAGCATGAATTTGATTGAATAGAAACGAAGCTGAAGTCAGTGATAAGCAAGCGCTTTCCCCCACTACTCACTGGGAAGCTCTGTGCCGAGGAGAAGTGAGGATCTGACTCAAAGTGTGTTTTGATTTAGGGGTACAGTTTAAGTAGCAGGAACAAGAGCAGCTTACATTACACTGTTAACTTCTTTTGTTCTGTCTTAGTTAAACATACAAAGGAGAGCTTAGGAGGCTCTAATAAACTGTTTTGTCAGTATGGAAATTTAATGTAATAAATGCCATATTTTCATGTGCACTTAAAAGTGTCACATTATTTCATGAGATCTGAAATAAGTTTTCAAAATTTATAGTTTTCCTCTATGCAATTAGCACTTTAATAGTATTGTATCCTGAGAAAGATGAATTTTAGTTCTTAGGATATAAATGCACAGCCCCGTAGAATAGAAGCAGAAAGGCCGACAATCAGTATTGTACCAACAAAAAGAGTGCCCTGTGTACAATCTTGTGATATTTTATGATGTATTTCCATGCTTGCTTGTTTGTTTACTTTTGATTTGGTTGTTTGTTTTACATAGGGGAAAGTTGCCCAAACAGCTTGCATGTCAGCCTGCCAACATCTGTCAACATCCTTAATGCAGATGCTACTGGACAGCGAGTTAAAACAGATAAGCATGGGAGCCGTCCAGCAGTTTAACTTAGATGTCATACAGTGTGAATGTAAGTACATATTGGCCAACTCTCATGCTTTCTCTAGAAACTTACATTGAAATATTATGGAAAGTTGTATATAATAGGATAGCTTGACAAGGAAGAAGACCCAATTTAACTGCACTTTTGACAGATTTAGAAGTAAAGCCAACTCCTTCTCAGGAAGAAAAAAACTATCTCAGCTTTACATTAACAGCCTCAAAGAGCTTCACTGAAGTGGTGTTCTAGACCAAGGTAACTAAAGAATTGATCTCTCCCCTCTGGTCATTCTTGCCACCTCTCTGGGACTCTGCTAATGCCTGCTGTAAATGAGTGGAACAACCCCAAGCTTGTCCTTTTTACTTTTCCTGACCATGTAGGTTATTGCTTGGAAGGTGATCTCATGACCTTGTGCTCCAAATGGTGCTTCTCCGGTTGTTTCCTCACCCTGAAAGGTTTTCCAGCCCCGGCAGCTGTGGTACTCCTCTACGTCATTCTGTTTGTATCACAAGGTTCACATCTGGGGTCTAGTGTTGGCATTAGCTGATGAGCTTTAGGACTCGAGTTAGCCTCGTTCTCCGTGCCTCACATCCGGGTTTATCCAGCCTCCAGCCCTAACTAGCAGGCTAGAGAGCCTGGCGTCATTTTCAAGCAGTGTTCTCAGAGGGATGGTGAAAGCCCCTGGCTGACAAAGGAGCCAACACCTCCATTGACAGTTGACAGTCAGTGGGCCCCAGGAAGATGGCAGAACAGTTTCCAGGAGTGGGGATTTACAAAGTGTATTATTTGAAAGACTGAAAAAATGTCAGCAGCTTTCAATAAAGGAGAAATAATATGTTGGGTTTTTTCCCAGCAACAAATATAAAACATTTGTGTGCCTTCTGTGCATAGTATATTCTACTGGGAGAAAAAAAAGTCTGCTTTTTCCTAGAAAGTGATTCTAACTGTATTTTACCAGAAAACTTCTATTTTTCTCAAAGTAAAATTCTCGTTTATAAAATATTTATTTTGTATTTATAAAACTTTTGGACCCAAAAATGTACCTTTTAAAATGTTTCTAAGCTCAGATCAATTATCATTCTCCTTCTACAGATCGTTTGCTCCTCTCTCCAGCCTCTCTTTTTCTCTTCATCCTCCATCCCTTCTCTTATACTTTAACTTGATTTTAATGAATATACAAAGTAGCAGATTTCCTCACAACATTTTCACACATGCTGAGTTTTGGTAGACAACCCCCACATCAGTACCCCCTTCCTACCTTCCCCCTCCCTTGGACCCTTCTACCCCAACATTGCGTTTTCCACCTCCTTTTCTGGTACTGGCAGTTGAACCCTAGGTCTGGCGCAATTCTAAACACACATCCTACCACTGAGCAGCGCCCCCAACTCAAACCGGTTTCTTCAAGAAACTGTGCTTTGAGATCATTACAGTCTGCTGTTGCTTATGTCAGTTTTACACAATTATTGCTTGATGCATGTTGTGTTATTTTCTTCAGTGTGGCTTTACAATAACTAGGTGTTTGGCCGGCTAGGTGGCTCATTAGGTAAAGGGACTTTGTGCCAAGCCTAATGACCCGAGTTCATCCCCAGAACCCACATGGTAGAAGGAGGAAACCAGCTGGTACAAGTTGCCCTCTGACCTCTACATGTGTGCTGTGGTGTAAGCGTGTGCACACCTTTATATACCCACACAAAATAAATAAGCATAACAAAACTTCAGTAATAATTGGTAGTTAGACCTCTGGTTGGGTTTGCTTGTGTCTTCTTGGTTACATATCTTGCTGAATGATGGACGTTGCCGTCTGGGTAGGCATCTTTCTGGTGTCTGCTCTTGCTCTCTTACTTCCCTGGGAAGGACTATAGAAAAGCACGCACTCTGCCCCTCCCAGGCATTGCCTCACACCCTCTTACAGATACTCCCTTCTAGTCATTCCTTTGGGCGTTACTACGGGCACTTTTTTATTCTCTCAGAGAAGACCAAGAAAGGCATTGCAGTCTGGTGTCAGGTGTGAAGGGCAGATCCTACTCTGCTGGGCTGAGTCTCTGGCACCGGAAACATGAAAGGAAGAGATCGCAGCGTCATCATTTCTACTTCCGTTGTGGTTTCACCTTTGATTGGCTCTGCTCTTTAAAGCTTATCATGTGTAACTGCTGTAATCAGTATTTTAAATGTTTTTCTTGGCTAAGTTTCTCTTTCCTTTTTGGCATTTTTTTGTAAATTTATTGTGTGTGTGTTTGTGTGTATGTGTGTGTGTGTGTGGTGGTGTGCACGTACATGTGTGTTCACATATGTATGTTCATTTCTCATGGTGTGTATGTGGAGATCAGGAGACAGCATGTAGGCGTCAGTCCTCTCCTTCTACTGTGTAGACTCCAGGGATCAAACTCAGGTCATCAGGGTTGGTTGCAAGCATCTTTGCCTGCGAAACCATTCCACTGGCGCCCTGTAATCATTACTTCTTAATATAGTATCACAGACTCTGTACTTACTGAACAAATATAAATTGATTTTTTTGTGTTTATTTTACTACCTCCAATGTTAAATATTCTTTTTGAAAAGGTATCTTTTAACTTTAAACAGTGAGTTTATAGTATAATGACTCTCCCAAACTCTTTCTGGTAGAAAAATACACCTTCACCCACTCACAACTTTTAGTAATTGTTATGTGTATTAGTTGTGTGAACATGAAACTTTCTCTATTATTATAAGTATTTTAAGAGATTTCAAAAAATAAGTTTTATCATGTTTTAAATAATCATTTTTAAGTCTAAGGGAAGTAGTTTTAAAATATAAAGCTTATTTTCAACATTAATGCAGTATATAGTTTTTCTACATATTAGGACAGGGAAAGAAGAAAGGTACGCAGGAAGAGGGATTTGGCTGGATGGGGGAAGGCTGGAATGCATAGTAAGTTTGTGGCAGTCTAAGCATCATACATTCGCCTAGTATATGAAGAAGAAATACAGGTAGTCCAGATAAAGAATCTTAGAAGCAGAACAGTCACTGGACTCCCACCCCCAACATGGTCACAGCACACTTGCTCCATACTCCTGCTCCGTGCTGAGGTCATTGGCACTGGTCACAGGATCAGACCTGGAGCTGCGTGCTGTGCTCTGCAATAACCCCGCTGTGTGGTTGTCCAGCCCTAGTTGAACATCTGTTTGAAGGATAAACTATACTTCAGGAAATGTGTTTTCATGAGCTACACTTTGCTCTGTTGGTGGATTATACTGACCTGAAACTACTTGCTCTCTGAACTTCTCTTAAGTGAGAAGTTCTGCCATAGGTCTGTATTGTGCCTTTGGTGGAAGATGTTCTCACCAAAAGGAAAACGCCCTTTAGAGCTGTCTTCTTTATGTGCGTTAGAGAAAATTAGCCGTTTCCCTTGGACTCAACTCCTCCCACAGCACGTGGCTGTCCAGGTGAAATACAAACTAGATGTCAGCTGCCCCATCCTCCTGCCCCTCCTTTGGCCGTGGGTGCATGTGAAGTAGACTGACAACTGTGTATAGCATATCTAGAGTCAGGCACCAAACACAAACCTTCATCCCTGAGTTAACTCTGAACACCGCTTTTTATCCTCCAAGTGTTCTTTCTACCCGTTCGTTTGACTGTCTTCTCTTCATTGGCATTGTCTGATGCCTTGGGCTAAGGATGCCTCTATAAGATGAAGTTGGACTGTCAAGTACACTGTTCTGTATTCTGTACTTCATTAACAAAGCCCAAACTGAAGGACATGGTGGCACATACCTATAATCCTGGCACTTGGGAGGCTGAGGCAGGAGGATTGCCACAAGTTTGGCCAGCTTAGGCTACACAGTGACACCCCCCCCCCCCCCCCCCCCCCCCCCCCCCCCCGCAATGTTTTAAAAACAAACAACAATGAGAAAAGCTCAGACTATGCCTTCTTTGTGGCCAGTGTACTGTGAAACAATTGAAGCTTGGGCATTCTAAAACCCATTTGTAACTGGGGAGCTGGCGTGGTCTGCAGGCGTGAGGACTTGGACTCTTACTCCAAATAAGAGCATTGAGAGAAAACCATGGGGATGGTGTACGAAGACCTTTTCAGTGTCAGATTTCAAAGGAGCTGAGTGTTGCTACTTTGTTTGGGTCCCCGGAGTTCTTCCACACCTACTAGTGTCTCAACTGTCTGATGGAGGGTACCTTGCTGAGGTTTACTTCCAAGAAATGGAGAGGACTAGATAGGACTTTGTGTCAAAGTGGAGTGGTAGCTATCCTCAGGCTTGCAGCCCTCTGCTGCCAACCACCTGTGATCTCATAATACAAGTCAGAGGCAAGCCTGCTAACTCCAGATCGCCCAAGCAGCGTTGCTCTATCACCAGGGAAACCACTAGGTGGTGCCCTTAGTCATTCCTTCTTACAATGCAGCCACACAGGTACTCAGCCTACCCCAAATTTGAGTTCCAGCTAGCCATTTTAATTTCAGATTTACCGAGAAATTTGTGCATACACATGTGTGCACACACACAAATAAATAAATAAATAAATAAATGTTAAGAAAATTTTTCATAAAATTTGACAAAATTTTAAAAGAGAAAAGGAGAAGAAATTGAAGTTGGCAAGTTGACCTGCAAATTGTCCTCTGGTGTACATGTGCGCGCACGCACACACACACACACACACACACACACAGAGGGAGAGAGAGAAGCACAAATGAATGTAAAAAAAGCTTAGGCCGTGGTGGTGCATGCCTTTAATCCCAGCAATGGATTTAAATGTCAGATTAATTTAAATCTCGTCTCCAGAGCAAGTGCCAAGACAGACAGGGCTATACAGAGAAACCCTGTCTCAAAAAAAAATAAAAATAATAATAATAATAATGTCAAGTTAGAGGTAACAAAGATTATGATTGGTTTTTTTTTTGTTGTTGTTGTTGTTGTGTTTTTTGTTTGTTTTTTGGTTTTTCAAGACAGGATTTCTCTATGTAGCCCTGGTTATCCTGGAACTCACTCTGTAGACCAGGTTGGCCTCGAACTCAGAGATCTGCCTGCCTTTGTCTCTGCCTTCCA